ACAATTGAAACGTTTTAAATCAGTTAGGTTTACTTAACATGAAATTAACTTTTTATGCAGAGAGAAAAGGTTTAACTTCATATTCAAAGACATTGTAAGGAAACTGGACCCGTTTGTCCTGGCTCTCGAGTAGTATCACTTCATTATATAATCCAGAACTTTGGTGTGTCGATTTGTCCGTGTGTGTGGTGTGTGTCGTTCTGTCGGTCCGGGCCACCGCTACACAAACAGGGAATACGTAAGGGCAGCACTGTTGGAGATGTTTGATGTAATGTGCATGATTAACACTCACAGGGCTATTATAAACGACTGATCGGCACACTCACTTCATTCTACATGATGTCTGCCGTGGCGCGGATGCGCGGTAGGGCTAGAGGGAAGAGGGTAGAGGGGAAGTGGGCAAGAAAGGGAGGCTGGAAGGGAAGAGAGGGAGAGGAAGAGGAGGGGGAGAGGAGAAAGGGAGGGAGAACGCGGCGCTGTCATGTGTCGAAGAGAAGGGTAGGTGGAGGTGGGAAGTGAGGAAGGAGAGACTAAGGGAGGCTGACCGTTTTTTAGAGTAAGGTCTATATCCATGTTGACGTATTATTCTAACCTGATATGGTTATTGTGATAACACCCACAATGGCTACAAAAACACCGAACGGGCACACGCAGCCTCATTCTACATGGTGCTGCCGGGGCAGCCGGTGTCGGCGGGCGGTAGAGGGGAGGTGGTGAAAAGAGAAGGGGAGGGGGAGAGAGGAAGGGAAGTGAGGGAGAGGATTGTGCTGGCATGCACCGGAGAGAAGGGATAGCAGGATGTATAACACTTTCAATAGTGAGGTGGTTAATGGGGTACGTCATGCTGCTAATCCGTGGTTCCTCCCTACCCTGTGATGCTCGCTATTGCGGGCGGAGCAAACCTGGTATAGGAATAAAATGAGCGTTCAGTCATGATATTACGCGTATAAATTTTTATCATTGTTTATCATTTCTATTGATGGAAATCCATTTTCTCTTTCAAGTCGTCGAGTTTTCGGAGAAACTCAATTAAATCGTCCATTTTTAGTTCATATTTGTAATTGATAAAAACATTTTTATTTAAGCATTTCATTAAACTGATAATGAAGACATCTGTGTTATATCTGGACTCGCTTAGTTGTTTTTTGGTATATTTCAGTCTATCTATAAAATCTTCCCTTCTGGAGCACGTTCGCGCTATTCTTAGAATTTCAGAGTAAATTGTATTTTGTTTAATATGACATGAAAGGTTTGTTGTTGAGTTTGGAAACCGTTTTATGCTGGAATTAAATTAGTCTGATTTATTATACATTTTCGTATGTATTTTATTTAGTTCTATATTGATTTCTAAATCTAAGTAATCACATTTATACTCATTAGTATGTGTAATCTCTAATTTCAAAATATGTTCGTATATTGCATTTAATTTATTTAGAATATCTTGTGGATCAACATTGTGTATGATAAGTATATCGTCCATATATCTGAAAGGTTTAACTTGTAAGTAATTAGTGTTGCTATGGGTTAGTGAGTATACATACTCAAAATAGCATAATGTGAGATCAGCTAGTAGATCAGCAAGTCAGTGTTTTTTATCCTGCCAGAAAAGTTTGGTACCAATTAGCAGACCCCATAGGGATGGAGGGCTTGGTTGGCCTGGGCGACTCACGACTCAGGATTTGATCCTCGGACCGCTTGCGTGGTAAGCGTGCCACTTGCCGCTACACCACTGCCGCCCAATAGAGGATATGATCGCAGCAATGCGCTCCCTCCTAGATTTGAGGTCTATACGACTTCCCTTACGTTGGTTGCACTACAACTATCCACATTCCTCATTTACCGGCAGTTGGGGCGCGGTTTATCACTGGGTCAGATTAGCTCGAGCCTCACCCCAAACCATGGAAATGTAAACCATCTTTGAAAATCTACCATTCTTCCATTTCATAACGTTTTGAACAGTTCATGGTAAGATTAGATAGAGCTATGTTTCTTGTTACAAAGCGATGTTGAAATTTTTCCATAAGATTTCTATTCGAAGAGATAGTGTCTCTCGAGAGGGTGGGGATGGGATTGGGAGCCAAAGAGGTGGCCAAGGGATCTTTCTGCGCGGGTTGGGCATGTACATCCCGGAGTCGATGAGGCTTGTGGTTCGGTGTTCTCTTGCGCAACAAAAACGATGCTTTTCTGAGGAATTTGTGTAAGCTATGACTAGAAGTGGTCATCTTGATAATGCGGAGAGGATTTCGGCTCAGAGGTGGGAACATGTGAGGCGACCACATGTCCCGACCAGGACAGGTCAAAACGAGGGATCATGGCTGGGGTGTATTTGGGGGTTGCTGGCGAGGCTGCTCTTGCGGGAGGTCGGATTGAACAGTGTGGCAGGGCGAGGAGAAAGAAGTTTGTGCCACAAAGAACTGAGATATGAGCTCGGCGCAATTCTGAGAGGATCATCCTGTTGGTGCATGGCAACGGGGCTGCACGTTCGCGATTGGTACTCAATGCCGAACAGAGGTTGGGGGACGGAAGCTTGCTCACTAACCACATTTGCGGTGTTCCGCCCACTGACTACGTTCTTCAAGAATCATGCAAAATTCGAAGTCCGAAATGCTTCGTATCACCAGGTGAGACTACTTTGAACGACGACGAATGAACAGGTTCATGAAGGAGATTGTTTGCAGGGGTGTTTCGTTCGACGGAGGAATATGTAGATTTTGGTGTTTTATTTTGACTTGATCACGGTTTGGCGCTGTGTTGGACAGTGTCGTTCAAAATTAGCAAAAACTGACTTCATTCAGGTTTTTCCGGAGCCTTCAACGCTAATATATGTATTTGGGAGTAACGGTTCGAATATAGTTCATGGTTGCGTTCAGGTTTTTAGCCTGCCCACGTTTGTATGGTTCGTAGAAGCGCTAAGGAGAATAAGCGTCAAAGAATTGGCATGGGCGTGCGATTGATGATGTAAGTGTCGAAAGGTTAGCAACGAAATTATACCTAGACAAATGATTGTCTTGATGAGCGGAGTGACGCGGATTTTTGCTATTCTTAGTTTTCTTTACTAATTGAGCCAGTAAAACAGTTCATGTAACGCCTATCATGTTCAAGGATTTAACGCTCATTTCTGGCTCCCTTTAGATATAAGCACTGGGCGTTGAATTCTTCCGCAAATGTTCCTCGTCTAGCTTCCGTCCTCTCTTAGAAGGGCGGTGGCGGACTGCGAATCGAGTGATTCGCTACTAGCGGCTCGATTCTCAAAGCGTGTATCGATCTTAAGCAAAATTTCAAGTTTTTGTTTCTCTTGCGCTAAATGGTAGAATATTGGAAAGTTAGCTACCACTGTTTGACTTCTTTTGACATCAAGGGAATAAGTTCTGGGTCTAGTTTTCATTTTCTACTTTCCATACTTTTCTGTAGTGGGTGTGTAGAACCATATAAAAAATGAGCTGATACTAATAACGCATCTTTTTGCCTTATGATATATCTATTCAGGAACTGGGGCAGCTGTTCAGAGGCATAACAATCCCTTCGGCTGGACGTTTTGGAACCTATTACCTCACACACTGAATTTCATGATAAAATAACTGGTGATAATGATGATAATAACTCACGTTCCTCACATCTAGTAATTCGCAAAAAATATCCTTGACAAATGATTGTTGCCGAGTTTCTATGTCTCACTATTAAGAATCCAAGAAGTACTTAAGAAGAGTATCTTTATTTGTTAGTTTCGTTTATTTTGTCAGCTTGTAGCTACCTTTTTTGTCAGTGTAAGCTTGGCTTCGGTATGCACCAGAAGATTCAATTGCATCAGATAAATGAGTTTTTTAAAGTGAAGGTTGAACACATCCATCGTTCGCATGTCGTCTTAACAGTACCGTGTGCCGATCGGGACAATTTTCTCTAACCAGGAGAGCCTTTCGAAACATGGAGCGCTTTCTGAGAATGGTTTTTTTTTGCATATGGAGGGGTACATGCATGGAGTACAAATCCAGGCTCAATTTTTTTCTGAGCGGCGCCCTGAATGCCAAAAAGGAGTGAAGATTTTCCCCGGAAATCGCAGTTTTCAAACCGTCAACGTGGTTTATATCACTCGTAACGTTGAGTGGGCGCATAATAGAAGGTTTCGCTCACGTGTACATTGAAAACAGCGTCGAATAAATCCAAAGACAAAATTTAACAAAGTGAGTGTTTAAAAGCATAAGGAAGTTTCATAGGGGCCGTCGACATCCAGTTGCCAGCGGTGGTCGAATGGTTGAGGGGATAGCGTGATGGACTCTGGTTGGCACGGTTTCGTCGGGGTTGTTGGCTCAGTTCCGACATGCGCAATCTTTTGCATTTTTTTTCGATTGTCGTTTTTCTACATTTGCATGTGCTTGCGCGTGAACTTCGATTGTCATTTTCGAGAACTTTCTCCCACAAGCCTGCGACAGTCTCCTGTTACCATGTGTACGAAATCCCGTTTATTAGCGATAAATAAGTAGCAGTTATGGTAAAACTCAATGAAGCATCTGAAGCACAGACGCCGATCACACCAACTGCACCTAGCAAACGTCAAAAACGTGCAGTTGTTATTTTTGTCGCAAGCAAGACCTACTCATTTCCTTGGAAGGTAGGTTGTAGGCGTTGAGGAGTGTCTGGGATGCTCGTCGTCATAGCCAGCGGCCACACAAGCATACGCCATGCATTGACGAGAACAGAGCTGATGCCAGATTGCGCCACGGGCAGGAACTGCGGTGGAAGTGTAACCATCAGCCAAACTTACCGCTTGCTATCATCCTGAAGCTGTCTTCAGTAGGCCGCCTGCGTGCCGTGGGCTTTCCCGTGGCCCATTTTCTGAATTCTGGTCAAAATCTTATTTTGATTGATCACGTTTGCGCGGAGTTGAGATATGTCGTTTCAAAAATAAGCAAAAACTGACATTCATTCATTATTTTACCGATCAACCTAATATCATGTATTTGGGGTAAACTGATTCGAATATAGTATCACTGAGTTGCGTTCAGGTTTTTAGCCTCGCCCACGATTGTATGGTTCGTCAGAAGCGCAAGAGAATAACTCCTCAACACATTGGCATGGGAGTGCGCATTGATGATGTAAGTGTCGAAAAGTTAGCAACGAAATTATACTAGAACAAATGATTGTCTTGATGAGTGGAAGTGACGCGGACTTTCTGCATATTCTTAGTTTCTTTACTAATTAAAGCCAGTAAAACAGTTCATGTAACGCCTATCATGTTCAAGGATTAACGCTCATTTCTGGCTCCCTTTAGATATAAACACCGGTCATTGAATTCTTCCGCAAATGTTCCTCGTCTAGCTTCCGTCCTCTCTTAGAAGGGCGGTGGCGGACTGCGAATCGAGCGATTCGCTAGTAGCGAATCGCTCGATTCTCAAAGCGTGTATCGATCTTAAGCAAAATTTCAAGTTTTTGTTTCTCTTGCACTAAATGGTAGAATATTGGAAAGTTAGCTACCACTGTTTGACTTCTTGTGGCATTAAGGGAATAAGTTCTGGGTCTAGTTTTCATTTTCTACTTTTCATACTTTTCTGTAGTGGGTGTGTAGAACCATATAAAAAATGGG